AGAGAAAGAAGACGATTCGTCGTACCGTTCTCGAAAATAATCCTTGTCTGAATTCATTTTATCCCTCCTCGCCCGCGCGAAGCGCGGAAGCTTTGACGTTTCATTAAAGTATTAGAAAAAGAAGACGATTCGTATTACCGTTCTCGACTCTTAATCCTCGTCAGAATTCTGTTCCCCCCTTATGCACGAAGCGCAGAAGCTTTGACGTTTCATTAAGTTATTAGATAAACAAGACGATTCGGTTGCACCGTTCTCCTTGCACCTTGTCTCAATTTCAAAAATGTTTTTTGTCTGCTCCTTTTTCTTTTCTCTCCTCTCTTTTTTTGGCCGGCGTTTTTTTTAGGGGGCCGCCCCACCGCCCCCTTACTTCAGAGGCCCGCCTTAGGGCCCTGGTTGGGTCGAGGCTGCGGAGCCCCGGAAGCTCAGGGGTTTTAGGCAATTGATTACGGTCAGATGAACATATTTTTATACCTTATTTGTGACACTGGCAGGACACTGATTGGCGTGAGGTCCAGCGTGCGGAACCCCCAGAAGCTCAAATTAAATTACGGTCAGATGAGTATCAAGGGGCCCGCCTTAGGGCCCACGGTTGGGTCCAGGGCAATAGCCCAGGAAGCTCAGGTTTTTTTGGCGTTTTATTTCGGTTAATACCTTATTTTGTTGTGACACTGGCAGTTAACTATTTTTTCTTTCTTGCTCTCTTTCTTTCCATTTTCTTTTTAATATACTATTTCAAAAAAAGTGGATGGGGGGAGGAACTCGAGGCTCCCGATCCCCGCCGTTACGCGGGCCCTGAAATGTAGGCCCATGTGCATCTCAAGAAGCATATTTTTTGCCTGGCTGTAAATTTAGGAATTCGTTATTTTACAACAAACGCATACAAAAATATAATTTACTAAAAATCTCGGAAAATTATGTCATCTTAGCATTATGTGTAAACCACTATTATGGAATTAGAAATAAACCACGTTTGAATTTTATTTCCCCTGAGCCCCCTCCTCAATCAGTACGCCAGTGCCCCCCCCCCCCCTCTGATTTACACTTTGTTGGCAACTGATCTCCCCTACCTTTTTTCTTTCTCTTTTTTTTTTCTTTCCGTTTCTCTCCTCTTTCCCTTTCCCTTCCATTCCTTCTCTCTCTTTTAGGTTTGCTGGGGGGGGGGAAGGCAAGATCCTTTCGGCCCACACCCTTCTCCACACGTTGCTTGCGGGATTAATCACAACTGATCTATCTCCCCTTTTTGTCCTTTTCCTTACTTCTCTCTTTTGTTTTTAGCGGGGGCGGGAGGAGGCAAAGGCCTTTTTCCCAACCCCCATCCAGATCCGCAACTTGCTGGCGGGAAAATTGCAATTGATATCCCCCTTCTTTTCTTTACTTTTTCCTCAATTCCCCCCCCCCCCTGGATCCGCCATTGATACAATGCCTGTTCATGTACTGCTCTTGACATGGTTTATTTCTCTGTCTCCCTTCCTCTCCCTCTTCCTTCTCTTTCTTTCTTTCTCTCCTTTTCTTCCTACTTTCTACTAATTTCCTTATGTCTATTCTCGTCTTCTAATCTATTTGATGTTATTCCGGTGTTAATTTGAATTATTACATTGTCTCTTTTTGTTGGTGCTTTTTACTATTTCTATTGCATATTATTCTCATATATAAGTTTTATACTATCGAAAATAATATCGCTAGTGACATTCGTTTGTCTCACACTGTAGGGTCAAAAAGGGATCAAAAGATCACGATGATTCATGCACCGCTGCATCACTTCATCAGGGGATAACATATATTGTAAGCAAGCAAGGGTGCGTTTAATCGACACTTTTTCACCCTAGAATCACGGTTTCTAAAGACGTTTAGTTTAAAACGCAATGCGTTCAAGCGATTTTTTCGCCGGTCGTAAAAATAAACGTGTTTGAAAACACAAACATGAAACGCTGAAAAAGATGCGTTTTGTATCATGATTCTGCAGAATCACGGTCGCTAAAATTCGATTGAACGGACGGAGTTCTCAATCATGATTGTATGACGGAGCCTGTTCCGGTTTGGACAAAAACCGCGCGCCTGCTTTTCATGCAATTTGCGTTTACTATACCATGCTCTTTATCGTGGCCTGTTCCGTTATGTTATACCTTGTTTTCCTTCTATCTTTTTCTCTTTCTGTCTTTCCTTATGTTATTCTTTGTTTCTTCCTTCTATTCTTATGTTATTCTTTGTTTTTTCCTTCTATCACCTTCTCTTATGTTATTCTTTATTTTTATAATTCTATCACTTTCTCTTTTGCTATTCTTTGTTTCTTCCTTCTATTCTTATGTTAATCTTCATTCTTTTCCTTCTATCAGCTTTTCTTATGTAATTCTTTGCGTTTATAATTCTATCACTTTCTCTTTTGTTATTCTTTGTTTCTTCTTTCTATTCTTATGTTAATATTTGTTTTTCCCCTTCACTCACATTCTCTTATTTTATTCTTTGTTTTAATCATTCTATCACTTTCTCTTTCTGTCTTTCCTTATGTGATTCTTTGTTTCTTCCTTCTATTCTTATGTTAATCTTTGTTTTTTCCTTCTATCAACTTTTTTTTGTAATTCTTTGTTTTAAGCATTCTATCACTTTCTCTTTCTGTCTTTCCTTATGTTATTCATTGTTCCTTCCTTCTATCTCCTTCTCTTATGTTATTCTTTGTTTTTATAATTCTATCACCTTCTCTTACGTTATTCTTTGTTTTAATAACTCTATCACTTTCACTTTCTGTCTTTCCTCATGTTATTTTTTGTTTCTTCCTTCCATCACCTTCTCATTCTTTGTTTCATTATTGCGATCTATGCTCAAAACAGCAGTCGACAGTCGGCCGTAAACAATTCCAAAAAGCGCGCGCCGAAGTTGACCTATACTTCCTGGGTCAAACTGCAAGTGTGCTGGGCTCGAAATGAGCTAGAATCAGCGTTGATGAAAAATCGCTTGAACGCTATTAAACCGCAGTGACCTTGTTTTTTGTAACGGCGTTTTGATTTGTGATTCATGTTTGTGATTCTAGCTTCGAAAATTCGATTGAACGCACCCTTATACTCTACGGGTGGACGGGCGGTCAAATGATTAGAACAATGACGGACAAGGCCTAATGAATCCCTTGTTGATCATATAGCGATATTATATTTGATACTATATCCGCAATGAGTAATATATTTAGCAAGTGTTATACTGTTTGTACCTTTGTTTGTGGGCTTTGGTGATTTTCATCATCTATTTTTCCGTGTATTACATATTTCTTTCTGTTCTCGACCAGGATTTAAAAAAAAAATTGTATTAACAACGTACATATGATTCTTGTTATCCTGATTAAATATATTTCAATAAATAAATAAATAAAATACATAACCAATTGGCCCTGCGCAAAAAAGGAGCGCACGAATGTTAATGCAGAACGTCCTTATTAAGGAACATGATTCAACAAGAAATACTACCCAAAGGAAACGAACTGTGATCGCTGAAGACATGTGGTCCTTCTTTATGGCCCTGTCACACTATGACGTTTTAGAGAAACTTATAGCTAGCGTATGAAAAATCATGAAATAATGTCAAAACGTCGATATTTCTTTCTGTTCTCGACCAGGCAAAACATCGAAATTCTGCAGCATGAATAATTTGGGCGTATACATAACGTATTGAACGTACACATATCGTATGTCTAACCTACAGCGTATGACAGCGAATGACAGCGTATGGCCAGCGCATGTTCAGCGTTCTCGACCTATCCCAACGTACGAGTAACTTATGAGAAAACTATGCGCAGCGCGCTCGGCGTACGTGTTGCCGAAGATCACGTGTAAATGTCCTATTTCCATATTTGAAAATTAACATTAATTATGAATGAAAGAACTTACTTCTAAATAACTGCAATAATTACTTAACATGCTTACAATTGAAGAAAAAAAACGTCTATACTACGCCAGTTGTATGGTAGAAACACGTTCAATAAGTTACTCCGTCGTCAGACATACGTCTGGATACGTCAATATGCTTTGCAGATACGTCAGATATAGGTTAGATATAGGCTAGATATAGGCTAGAAGTAGGTTACTCATAGGTTAACAATAAGTTAGCTGTACGGTATACCTTCATGCCAACGTATGTCGACGTATGAGTTACCTATGGAAGGCCATCGCCGCCATATTAACGTATTTAGCGTGTATCTAGCTTATGTGTAACGTATGCCTAACCTTTGAAGAGGACGTCGGCATACGCCCAAAATTTTGTGTGCATGCACACAAATTTATTTCGGCCTCTGCGTACAACAACTTATGCCTTAAAGAGAAGGGTGAGTTCTGGAAAGAGGTAATTTGTGAGCGTTATCATTGTATTATGCAAGTGTGGAAGAACAGTAGATAAAAAATGTTCCCTGAAAAGTATGGCTCTTAAAATGCCTTAATATTCTAAATTTGGCATGTAACATCAAAAAATCGGGACGGATATTTTGGCCACATGTTCGTGTAGTCCCATATCTTTCTGTGACCAAATTTCTGATCATTTTGGTGATTCCAGAACCTTGCAGTACACACCAATGCTAGATAATCAACCTTTTCTGATCGATTCCACAACGTTTCTTTCACAATGCAATCGCATGACCAGAACTTAACGTTATCTTTAAAGACGCGTAGGAGTGTGCTCTCATGGGGAAATCGACACCGTTCGAGAATTTACCCGATAACAGGTGTTTTCAAACACCAGGATTTTAATAGCCTTCAGTTTTATGGCCAACGAGCCTCATTTAATGCTTTCCATTTCCTCATTTCCCTATCCATATGAAAAGGTCATTACATCTTACTTTTGCCCTCTGCTTGCCCAAAGATTTGCTGACTGAGAAACGAGTGGGCATTTCTTAATAGGCCTACTGTTTTGCTGTGTGCCGACTTGGACACAAATTAATGAATTATGGCCTTCTGCAATGATGGAACTGACGACCCGTTTTCTTTAATATATCTGTCTTCCACAGTCCTCGAGCCCGTACAGTAATGGCATCAAAGACTGGTATCAGTATGTTTCTCCTACTCGCTGCTGTAGTCACAGCCAGTGCTTCTCTGGAAACTCAAGGCGAATCAGCGGTTGTCCGCGAAACCAATATCCGGGAGCCAGCGTCAGATATGCTGAACGTGGAGGAGACTGTCAGTAAGTAGTGTGCAGGCACAAACTATTTTCAGTCGTGGTACGTAAGCTGTAGTTCAGATATTACCCTGTAAAACTGCTGCGTTGTAGGTTCTTTTTATGCCTCCGTTACGAAGTAGCCGGAGGCATTATGTTTTCGGGTTGCCTGTCCGTCCGTCCGTTCGTACGTCCATACGTCCCGTTCTCGTGATCGTGTTATCTCAAGAATCGATTGATAGATTCTTGCCAAACTTAAGTCATGTATGTATCTTGCAGAGTCGATGAATTGAGTAGATTTTGGGGTCACGAGGTCAAAGGTCAAAGGTCATGGGAGTCATTATATACGCAAAAATAGCTTGCGATCGCATTATTACTATAAAAAAAAATACCGAATTACCATCAAACTCAAACATTTATATGTATCTTGCAAAGCCAATGAACTGATTTTAGGGTCATGAGGTCAAAGATAAAAGGGTCATACATGTATATGAAAAATAGCTTGTATTCACGATATTCTGAAAACCTGTTAATGGATTACAATTAAACTTGAATTCGAAAAATTGCCTCTGTCTTGGTTTGTGAAATCGCTCTATGGCGGAGGCATCAAAAATGTCTATGCAATGCTCCCGACCGGAAGCCAAGCCTCAGCAAAAGCTAGAAAACATTAGCTCTGCCCGCTGCAGCCGGCGCACAGTGGGCCAGGGAGGGACCAAAGTGCGCCAAAACTCATTTTTGGTGATTTTTTTTTTCTTGCCCAATTGAAAGGTAGTACATTGAAGAATACCTCAGTAAAATGTTTAATTCCGGTATGCACTATAAATGTATAAATTTACTCCTTCAAACAGTAAAATCTTACATATTCACAGTTTTGATGCAAAAGTGACTTATTTTATAATTCTTTCAATTTAACATGGAGTTTTTAAGCTAATGATATGAAATTGCTCTCACATATTCCTGATAGTTCATCTCACTGTGTGAATGGGTAAAAAATTGGATAGAAACACAATCTTCATTCTAAATATGGCGTGTAACATCATAAAAATCGGGACGGATTTTTATGCCAAATTTGTGTGCAGTCCCATATACATCTTTCTGTGTAGAGTGCTTGTAACCAAGACTGGTCGAAATTTGTTAGCATTTTGATGATTCCAGAACATTGCAGAACACACTATCTTTTCTGATCCATTCCACAACGTTTCTTTCACAATGCAATCGCATGACCAGAACTCAACTTTATCTTTAAATGCAGAATGAGACATGAAATAATATCTCCTACTCGTACTTTATCCACACACAAGAAAATGGGAGTCCTTGTGCATCTCAAAGAGCTATAATAGATTTAGGCATGTTTTTGTCCATAAATACTATGTATTACAAGAGCTCGCGCGCATGGACATTTATCTTGAACCGACTCTCAAAGAGATAAACATGAAAGGGATGTCAAATTGATTGTAAAGATCATAGGGGGGAAATGGCGATTCTATGTTGTGTACGGATTTTTAATTTTGCGCGCGTACTGACACTAGAACGTACGCGAACGCGTGCATCTAACTATGTGAAATTTACCGGACGGATATTAACCTTGATCGTGATAAATAAGAATAAGAAATGATTTTCCGTTATGAAGATATGATCATTAGTTGATTTTCACAACATGGCGCCTAGATCACGTCACGATGATGTCGCTGAAAAGCCACGCACTTCTAAAATCTTAATGAAATCAAAAGGTGCTACGTACTACGTAGGCCTACCGTACGTATCACCTAATACAAATAAATAAAGAACAAATTATTTCCTCTTTAGAGAAGATGGAGGAGATACGTCTTGTGGGAGGCACCTCAGATTCTGAAGGCCGTGTAGAGGTCAGCTACAGCGGAGAATGGGGAACTGTTTGTGATGATCTTTGGGATACAAACGATGCCAGCGTGGTATGTCGATCTCTCGGTTTTGATGGTGCTCTGGAAGCTGTCAAATATCCTGGATTCGGCCCCGGTACTGGAACCATCTTCCTTGATAACGTCGAATGCATTGGAAATGAAGCGAGTCTCGCTGAGTGCCCAATATTTGAACCTAGACCGTGGAACTGTGATCATTCAGAAGATGCAGGAGTTCGTTGTCTAGTGCTTGGTATGTTTACATGAGTTATTGTTCATAAAGTTATTTTGGTCGTTTCCGCAAAGTAAACGTCGAATGTAATTCCCGTGTTTTATATGACATGTTGAGTATATCACGATCGGGACGGATTTTTAGTGCACCTTTTAACATAGGAAAGTGTCCATTTGCCATTCTCATGATTGCCTTTTTAAATCTCTAGTAAGTTCCTTTTTTCAGTTACGAGAAGCGCCCCTTTTCCTTTGTAAAAAAGTGCCCCTTCCCCTTTTAATAACTACCCCCTTTTGACTTGGATAAACGCACCTTATATTTTCACATTTGCCCCCTTTCCATTTTAATAAGTGCCCCTTTTCCTTATGATAAGTGCCCCAATTCAAATCATAAATGCGCCTTTTCATCAATGAAAATAGTTCCTTTCCATTCTCATAAGTGCCTCTTTTCATCTCTTGTAAATGACCCTATTCCATTTTGAGAGATACTCGTTTTACTTTGACAAGTGCCCATTCACCTCCTTATAAGTGCTCTTTTTCCTTATATGTGCCCTTCCCCTTCTCATAATTACTCCTTTTCATCTTTGATAAGTGCCCCGTTTATTTTAACATTTACCTCTTTCTTTTTTTAATAAGAGCCACTTCCCCCTTTTCATAAAAGCCCCCTTTCCCCTACGATAAATGCCCCTATTAAAATCTGATCGGTGCCCCTTTTCTTCAACAAATGCACATTTCCCTTTTATCATTAGTGCCCCTTTTTCATTCTCATAAGTGGCCCTTTATATATGGTCAGTGCCCTTTTTTAGATGCGATAAATGCCCCTTTTCACCTCTGTACTTTGACACGTGTTCCTTTTCTTTTCTAATAAGTGTTCTTAACCTTTTAGATAAGTGTCCCCTTTTCCTCTCATCATTACACGTGCCCTTAATTTCAAGCAACTAAGAACAATTCCACCCAAAGCTCGCTCGTAGTTATAGATGTTATAATTATGTTACTTATCAAAGGTCTTTTCAGTCTTCCGTTTTGATAACGTGCTTATATCCCCAACGGGTTTGGATTTTTCCTCTTTATAAGATGTAATTTTTCTCACTGCGACCTCACAAATCTTAAAATTTTTCCTCACTCGCTTTGCTCACTCGCAAATGAATTTTCAGACCATCACACCCTACTGCAAAGTATGATGCTTAAGCAATATTTGATATGATGTATAAAAAGAAACCAATATTAAAACCATCCCTGATAATGTAATCACAATATAGGGGTATATACCAAAGTCTACAAACAAAAAATTTCGCTTTAAATTTTCCCTTTGAAGGTGCCCTTTTTCCTGAAAGTGCCCTTTTTTCTTGGTGCCCCCCGCTTTGGAAGTCACTCCACTGCCTCTGTGTTGAGATGAGTTATTGTTAATTGAGTCATTTTGGTCGTTTCCGCAAAGTAAACGACAAATGTAACTTCCGTGTTTTATAGGGCATATTGAGTGTTATGATATCACGAAATCTGAGTAGAGCAACTAGTAGTGAAAGAGGTAGTTCTGGCTTTGACATACACGTGTACGTTCCTAACAGTGATGATTATGATTAGCTATCATTCAGATAAAACGATCGAAATTAGCCATAATTTTCTGATTCAGAATTAAACATATACAAAGTAAATATCAATGAGAAAAAAATGATTTCCTCTTGTTACAGAAAGAGAGGTACGTCTTGTGGGTGGCACCTCAGATTCTGAAGGCCGTGTAGAGGTCAGCTACACCGGAGAATGGGGAACTGTTTGTGATGATTTTTGGGATACAACCGATGCCAGCGTGGTATGTCGATCTCTCGGTTTTAATGGTGCTCTGGAAGCTGTCTCTAGTGGTCCATTCGGCCCCGGTACTGGAACCATCGTCCTTGATGACGTCGAATGCATTGGAAATGAAGCGAGACTCGTTGAGTGCCCGCATATTGGACTTGGAGTGCATGACTGTGACCATTCACAAGATGCTGGAGTTCGTTGTGTAGAAGGTATGTTTACATGAGTTATTGTTAATAGAGTCAGTTTGGTCGTTTCCGCAAAGTAAACGTCGAATGTAATTCCCGTGTTTTATATGACATGTTGAGTTTATATCACGAAATCGAAGTACAGCAACTAGTAGTGGGAAAGGTAGTTATTGCCTTGGCATACACTTAACAGTAATGATTATGAATAGCTATCATTCAGATAAAACGATCGAAATCAGCCATAATTATCTGAATGAGAATTACAAAAAAAATAATAAATAAAAAGTGAATAAGAACAAATTAATTCCTCTTGTTACAGATGGAGATGTACGTCTTGTGGGAGGCACCTCATATTCTGAAGGCCGTGTAGAGGTCAGCTACAGCGGAGAATGGGGAACTGTTTGTGATGATTTTTGGGATACGACCGATGCAAGCGTGGTATGTCGATCTCTCGGTTTTAATGGTGCTCTGGAAGCTGTCTCTAGTGGTCCATTCGGCCCCGGTACTGGAACCATCGTCCTTGATGACGTCAAATGCATTGGAAATGAAGCGAGTCTCGTTGAGTGCCCGCATATTGGACTTGGAGTGCATGACTGTGACCATTCACAAGATGCTGGAGTTCGTTGTGTAGAAGGTATGTTAACATGAGTTATTGTTAATAAAGTCAGTTTGGTCGTTTCCGCAAAGTAAACGTCAAATGTAATTCCCGTGTTTTATATGACATGTTGAGTATATCACGAAATCGAAGTACAGCAACTAGTAGTGAAAAAGGTAGTCATTGCCTTTGCATACACTTAACAGTAATGATTATGAATAGCTATCATTCAGATAAAACGATCGAAATCAGCCATAATTATATGAATGAGAAATACAAAAAAAAAAAAAAAAAAAAAGTGAATAAGAACAAATTAATTCCTCTTGTTACAGATGGAGATGTACGTCTTGTGGGAGGCACCTCAGATTCTGAAGGCCGTGTAGAAGTCTGGTACCACGGAGCATGGGGAACTGTTTGTGATGATTTTTGGACTATAAACAATGCCAACGTGGTATGTCGATCTCTCGGTTATGATGGTGCTCTGGAAGCTGTCAAATATCCTGGATTCGGCGAAGGTACTGGAACCATCCTTGATGACGTCAATTGCTCTGGAGAAGAATCGAGTCTCTTTGAGTGCCCACCTCAGATGCCAGAAAGATACTGTTGGCATTGGGAAGATGCTGGAGTTCGTTGTGTAGAAGGTATGTTTGGACAGGGACGGTGCTACCGGTGGACAGGGGGGAGGGGCTAAGTGCCCCCTCCCCCCCCCCCCCCCCCATTTTTTCAAATTCCCCAAAACTGACCCTTTTTACATAGGAAAGTGCACCTTTTAACATAGGAAATTGTCCATTCTCATAATTGCCTTTTTTAATCTCTAGTGAGTTATTGTTAATAGAGTCAATTTGGTCGTTTCCGCAAAGTAAATGTCGAATATAACTCCTGTGTTTTATAGGGCATATTGAGTGTTATGATGGTAATATTTCTTAGTATATCACGAGATCCGAGTTGATGAACTTCCAGTAAAAGAAGTAGTTCTGGACTTAACAGTAATTGTTATGAACAGTTATTATTCAGATAAAACAATCAGAATTAGCCATAATTATCTGAACAAGAATATAACCCCCAGAATAAGAAACTAGACTTGAGTTTGTCATCTTACAAATTAGGTTATACGAATTCTGATTGACATAATGAAGAAGGCGTTTTCACGATTTCATATTATCTTATAAAATGCTCCTAACATTATCGCCTATCTAAATGTCAAGTTTCAACTGTGTGGCATTGATTAGTATAGATCTATAGGAGATAGGTTGAAACAATATCGCTAATATAACAACAAACTTCACATAGACATTACACGTAAACTGACAATCGGATTCTCAAATCACATCTTGTAGTTAAAATATTGCCATGATCCCAAGATCCGATAAATAAATAAATGTCACCTCCCGTAAAGAGAATATTCTCAGCTACAACAAATCCGTAGCCGGCAGAAATCGAGCCTAAGAAATCAAGATGAGACGATTCTGAAGTTTTTTTTAAAAATAATTTTGCGCGCCTACTAATGCTAGGACGTACGTACGAATGAGAAATGATTTCCGTAATATGGAGATATGATCATGAGTTGATTTTGACAAAATGGCGCCTGGATGACGTCACGATAACCTGGTGTCGTTGGAAAATCACACAGTTCTAAGTTGGACTAGGATCTTATGATAATGTTTTTATCCATTCTTGGGATATCGGGTGAACAAATTCATGGCAGAAAAATAATAATAAATACAAAATAATTAATAACAAATAAATAAAAGCCTTGACGAAATCAAAAGGTAATATGTCTACGAACCATCATGATCAATTACTTATCATGAGTACGGAAGTCTCTGAGTTATAGAAGACTAGGATCAATGCAGTGCTGGAAGTGAACGCACCTAGATGTTCTGAAAAATCCCCTACTCCAACAGATCCTTGCATTGAGGTAAACATTTTGAGCGGGCTGAGCCAGCGCATATTTGAATGTTTTCTTAAAGTGACTCGTTAACACTGTTGAAGTTTGATGAAAAAACGGTATAGTTTTTGTATGGAATGTTTTATTATTACATTCCTCCTACTGTACTTACTTACTACTAAAATCCCGAGAAAATGCTCTAACCATATTTTCCCAACTGTTTTTTTCTTGAAAATAGACATAAGACAGGCTTTAACAAATCTTTCAACACTTAATGTTGAAATGGTATATAGAGCCAATTCAAGGCTTTGTGACGATTTACATTCACCTACAATGTAACTAAATTGTAATAATATAGTTGGGAGAATTGTAGAATTGATCAGATCAGTTTTTCCAATTTGTTGTCATTAATAATGGTCCTTTTTCACTCAAACTTTCACATTATCCGTGATTATACATCTAGTATTGAAGAACCATTTTCTTTTATCTAAACAATGTTAACAAGTCCCTTTAACAACTAAATAAGCTTACATTTAATATAAAGCTAATTTCTAGAGAGGTTGTATTAGTAGAAATATTAGTTTTTAAACCGTGAGAGGAATATGGTTTTGAGAACGTATATTGACGAGAACAAAACGCTTCCGAAGGTTGACACTTTTATACTCTCTTTTTAAAATAACGCATCAATATTATAATTTGACGTTTTCTTTCTCCCCCTATCTTTATTTAAAAAAGAAAGGAAAACAACTCCTGGTTCTTAATCTTTACAAAGTTTATATTCTCTCTCTTCTGAAAGCTTACTTTCTTTTAGTTTTGCTTTTCAATAGAGGTTAATACAAAAACACCATGACAATACAGATTTTCATTCTCTCCTTCTAAAATCAATCACTTCTAATCGACAAAGTTTGTTCGTGTGTGTGTTCACTCTCAACTTGTATCCAACAGCGAATGGAGGTAAAAAGAACATCATAGTCAATATTTGTTCTCCGCCCTAGTTAGCTCGATCTTTATCAACAAAAATATATCATTAATGATTTTTCTTTCATTTTCTTGTTCGATTTGTGTATTCTTTTCTTAACAAAGACATGTTTCATGATGTCAATACAGTTCCTGTTCTCTCTTTTAAAACTTTCTGTTCATTCCACTTTTCAAAAGAGCTATACAATTTCCTATTTTTGGTAGACATTATTTAGGACTAATACAGCTCATGGACACGCAATCTTTTGTTCTCTCCTAGATAACGCGCGTGGAATCCTGCCACATTCTCTATTCTTTCTTTAGAGCGAACTTTCTTGTGTGTTCTTTACGTCATCATGAACAGGGGGGCGTTTAACAAAACTTGTCATCAGTGACAGATGACGGTTTGTGTTATAAGCTACTGAAGTCCTTGCTTCTGATTGGGTACCCACACACTGGACGTGCCCTGCTCCAGCCCGTCGCTTGAATACTTCTGCGGTGAACCTCATGCGCAGGCTCAGTAGTTTAAGCTATGGTCACAACCCCGAAAAGTAGCCTGCTCGGCAGCCGGGCGGCGAGTTTTAAGCCAATGTCGACTGGGCACCGAGCGGGGGCCACCCGGGCACCGCTTGTTTTTAGGGCATCGCTCGGTCGCCGCTAAAGTTTTAGCGCGGAGTTAAAATTCGGTGGCGCCTGCTCACTTTTCACTCGCCGCCCAAAATACGCTCGGTACACGGGCGGTCGGCGTCAGGGCAGAGGCCTAATCGAGCGTTCGCCGTCGAGCGATTTAGGACGAAAATCGAAGCCGCTAGGTCAAACGCTAGGTCACTGCCCGGTCGTCGCTGGGCGATCAGTCGGTCACTGGGCGGCGAGTTCAAAATCGGTCGGCAGCTTTTAACCTCGCAGCTTCGATTTTTTACCCATATCGCTCGACGGCGAACGCTTGATTAGGTCGGTGCCCGGGCGTCGACCGCCCGGAAACCGAGCGTATTTTGGTGCCCCGCCGATCACCGGCCGGCCTCTGGGCAATTTTTTTAAAAATCAGCCAGTGGCCGGTGGGAGACAGCTCGTGAATCGATGGGTCATCAGTAGGTCACTGGCGGCACGCCTCCGCAGAAGTTCCCCGACTTCGCCCAGTTTTGACCTAAAATCGACCGCCGATTGACGGGAAATCGACAGGGCACCTCCCAGGCATCGGTGAATCTCTATAGCCTGCTTGACTTCTCCAAAATTCGTTGGGCGATGCCTAATTTCCAGCGGCGACTGAGAAGGCTACAAATCGGTCGGTCGCCGCTCTGAGTAGTAACCATTGCTTTAGAACCAGTAACCTGGATGATGTGCGAATTTGACGTTAGCACTTCGGTTCTTTTTAAAGGGAACTAAAAATGTCAATGATCTATCTGATTTCTTGATGATGTCATAAAATTGGCTTAATACATGGTCTTAGCTTCAGATTCGGGTCCATTTTTTTAATTTCATTTCTCACATAACATTAAATCCATGTGCTTTGATTTGATGCATGTACAATTCATTCATTGAATAACAAAATTAAATGTTTATATTTGCCGTAAATTATGTATGCTTATTTTAATGAAAAAATGTGGAAACTGAGGTATCCACCGAGAAGCAGGGCTCGTAAAATGTGGATCCCTTAAATAATGATAATCTTAGATTTATGTAATAAATACATATAATGTGTTTTTTTAAGCACAAAGGGAAACGGAGATTAAGTAATCTGCAAGTGTGGAGTGGAAAAACAAATTTTACGAGGATGAATTTACCTATTAATTTAGTCATTTCAGTTGATGGCTGCAAATGGAACAATATTGTAAATAAGTAACATTTGCTTTCCTCCTACAGATGCTATTGAGTGATATATCGTGGTCGACCGACAAACTATAACACCGGCAATCATCAAAACCGACAACCCGCGTAACCGACAACCCCGGAGGCTGATTATTATACTTTCATGCTTTCATGCAGTACATAGTAATGACAATTATATATAATTAGCTATATACATTGAATCAAAAATTTGAATAATATAAACTCAATACAGAATCATAATTATAAGACTATTGCAAGAAGTCTGAAGGGCTTTCCTATAACTATCGATGAAAGATATATTCCTGATTATTAGGGATAATGAATTCAACACAGATGGAATTGGTTTCGTATTCATTGATTTCAAACTCCATTTTGTTCATACATAAAATAGATAGTTTGATAGTTTGCTATTTAATATTCAAATTCAAATTCAAATTCAATTTATTTCCACTTTAAAAACGTTTACAAATCAATTATATATACATATGAATAATAGTGGCGGGGTCATAAAAAGCACTAAACTGGCTTGTTGAAAATGACCCCTTAACAAATAACAAGTATATTTATAACATATCATTCATTGTAAGAAAATATCGAAAATTACTAAATGAAAAACTTAACAAAAACATAACGAGAACATCAAAATTTGAATTTAAAAAAAAGATAACGAAGAAAAGATAGGAAACATCAACAAAATACTATCATTTATGAGTTCAGTAGGTGTTGTTTAACCAATCGTGTAAACTGTTTTACGGTCTTACGATTTTTAGATTAGTTGGGAGGTTATTCCAAATAATTGGTCCATTGTAAAAATTAAAAAAATGAATTCTGAGTAGTTGATAAGCGGTTTAAAGGGAGGTGGATATTTTGAGCATTTCTAGTATTGTAATTTTGTATGGAACAAGTCAAAGTAAAATAATCATCATACATGTTAGGAAGAAGTTGATTAGACAGATGAAACATGAAAATTCTAGTATTTAAGGTTAATAAGTCATGGTTAGGTAGGATTTGCATTTTTTAAAATAATGGTAGAGTGTTAAATAGATAAAAAGAGTGTGTAATAAGGCGAATCCCACGTTTTTGTAATTTATAAATTTATTCAATATTTCTTTTAGAAATGAAACCCCAAACAATATTCCAATAATTTAAATGGGAAGAAATAAGTGCATGATATAACATTTTCAAAACAGTCTGAGGTAAGAAATTCAATCTGAATAAAACACCAATATTTTTAGATAAAGTTTTACAAAGATGATTTATATGGTGTTTCCAAGATAGTCTTTCAACTACAATTACTCCTAAAAATGTTACTTGACACCCGAGTTATCTTTTTATTTCAATAGAACAAATTTAAATCTATTGGAATTTGGGTTTTAGTTCCAAACATAATATAATTAGTTTTATTAGTATTTAATATTAACTCATTGGATTTCATCCACTTACTTAAATTGATTGATTGAGTATTTACGAAATGAAATAAAGTTGTAGGATCACGACCTTAACAAAATACACTGGTATCGTCTGCAAATAAAATATAACGCAAATTATGGGTTGAACATGGCATGTAATTAATATAAATCAAAAACAAAAGGGAGCTGAGAATAAATCCTTGAAGAATTCCGCAACCTACTGTTTTAACTTGGGATTCAGCTCCAGTAATATTTGTTAATTGTTAACGATCAGATAAAAGCTCGAAAGGTGTGCCCCTAATACCGTAATATTTCAATTCGTGAAATAAAATAGAATGATTTATAACATCAAAGGCCTTAGTTAGATCAATGCATATAGTAAGATTGTATTCCTTATTGTTAATTGCTTTATTTATGCTATTTATTAAATCTAGTATTGCTGTGGCTGTAGTGTGTCCCCGTCTAAGTCCAAATTGGTTGTCAACAACAATATTATAACTTTCAATTTAATTATAAATACATTACATACATACATGAATACATCGAAAAAATTTGGAAAATATTGTTAGGACTGAGATTGGTCTACAATTGTTAATATCTTTACGATCACCTGTTTCAAAAATTGGAGTTACTCCTGCAATTTTCATTTGTAATGGAAAGATGCCATTTGATATACATTTATTAAACATAATACTTAGCGGTTCACTTATTAGATGAATAGCATATTTCACTACTTTTATATTAATGTTATCAATACCTGCACTTGAATTATTTTTCATATTATCGACTATGGTTATTATTTCATGTTTAGTTACAGGCTTGAGAAAAACTGAGTATATATTTGGATGTTTAAGATAATCAGAGAAGGGATTATCAGAAGTTGTGCTATTTGAATCTTGTAAATTCTTACCAATGTTAACAAAGAAATTGTTAAAGGAATTAGCCATATCTTCCTTCTCAGTTATAATTACATTGTTAACTACAATTGAGTCAATTTTATTTGTTTCCATCTTTTTACAATTCAAGAGACTATCTATTTATTTCCAGGTGGACTTTATATTACATTTCAATTCATTGAACTATTTTTTTTTCATTGTAATCTCTTTTAGCCTGTCGTATCTTTAAAGTTACAAAACTTCTTAAAAGTTTGTTCTCTATACAATGTTGGGTGTTTAACATATTTTTTTTTATTTATACAAGAGTGTTTTTCTGTGACAAAGTTTTATTAAATCCTTAGTAAACCATGGGTAATTATGATTTTGTTTTACACGATAAGATTTGATAGGAAAACTTTCTTCATATATATATCATAAAATATTTGAAAAAAGGTATTATACTAAATTATATTCCACATACTAAGAATCTTGCACTACGATTGGTCATAAGTAAATCACGTGATCAAAGATAGTTCGCCCATCATTGATGGGAGAAGCAAAAAGTTCGTTGCCCTTTGTAGATAGTACTACTATCTACAAAGGGCAACGCACTTTTACTAAAGATAGAGGTACTATCTACAAAGGGCAACGCACTTTCACTGAAGATTATCCAAAAGCGCACTAAAATAGGCGTAATTAAGCGCGCATTACCAATGAGCGCAATTAAAGCAAACACATGCGCGCACTGTAACCTCAAGGGGTTGGGTTAAACTTTTAACCTTTTTGGTGTGAATTTGGGCCTGGTGTCTTTCATGTAGATGCATACACGTCCTTTTCTTGTTGTAGTTATATTGTTTTTAGATGTGGAATATAAAGCAAATAATCACCTTTTGGTTTCAGGCGATGGCAAACTATCACTTCCTCGTCAATCAGAATGTATACGCTATCTTTCCTCAGCTTCGCTTCGGAAAGATAGCTACATCCTGATCGCCTCGGAAGTGATAGTTTGTCCCATCACCTTCACCAACGGTAGTTATTTGCTTATTATAGCTTATATCAACATATTTAAACATTTCAGGATCCCATTTGACATTGTTCAGTTTAGTACAAAAAGAATATAAGCTCATTTCATTAATACATCGGGTTTTTTTTAAGTAAGCGGTTGGTTATTTGTAACAAGTGCAAAAGATGAAATATATATAAAGCAACTGGCAAATAATCGCCTATATCACTCAATAATATTCCTGAATGGATGGCAACAGTCATGTTTGTAAAGATATTGTCCTATAAAGTAGCAAATGACGGTAGAGGTAATTCTAGTTGGACAGTCAATGGTTGGATGTAAGTAAAAGCTATATAGAAGATTAATAAATGAATCTACTTTGTTAATTAATACCAATTTGTGTTAAGTCTAAACTGATATCACCCATAATGAAGCAATTACATGAATTTATATTAATTGTATACAACAGATTAGTAAAAAATCAGTGAGAAACAAGTCTAAGTCAAGTCCTGGTGGACGATATATAACACTAATTATTTGTTTTTTCTACATCTGCCATTATTTGACAATTCTATAAAAAACGCTTTCGAATGATTCTGTAATAATATTGATAAATCAGTTCTTGAAGAATAATTTAAAGTATTATGAACATAAATTTCTGTTCCACCCCTCGCTTATTTTCTCTGTTATTACATATGAACTGGTGATCATATAAACCATACAGATTTGTTGGAGAGAAATTCTTCAACCACGTTTCGGATAAACCTATTATTTTAAAATCAATATATATACTTCTGAGGAAAAGATTCAGGTTGTCGAGATTTTGTGATAAACTCCTGCAGTTAAAATGTATTAATGAAAAAGAACTAGAAAATTCATCACCTTAATATTTTGAATTAAAAGCAGGGGCATCGAGGTAAGTATCGGGAAAATATTTTTCATTTAAAACATTTATATTCCATGCTGTGATGATGATCGAAGTGTGTACGTACTAGATATATATGATGGAATGTTCACGAGAATCCTTTCTTTAATAATATAATCATTAAATTAGTAAACAGGTGTAATTGGTAGTAGAACTATGTCATAATACATGTAATAGCGGTTGAGCTCTATAAGAGCATCGTAACAATAAATGGAAAAAATTAGTAACCATGAGATATATAAGAGTTCAAATCTTTCTTGTTTTGTATTTCGTCTAACTATCACTATCACAACCTTTTATCCATTTAGAGACAGGATTTATAAGTAGAGCTAAATTTAAATGATGCTGTTCTTCAAATTGGCAACTATGATAGTTTTTTTCTTATATTGCTACACTAATTTTTATAACTTTTAGTGGGTGTGAGCCACAAATATGTTTAAATTGTTGCTACATTGTTAACGTGAAAATGTTTGGTCTTTGAAAACAATAAAAATGGGCGCGAATATTGCCGTTTGAAGAAAAGAAAAGTATCAACATTTTAGTCGGAAAATAATGACTTTGAATCTCTAAACGTGTTGCTGATTAGCCGCTAAAGATTTTCTCATGAATTGGGCCCCCTATTTGGCCCCTCCCTTGCCGGCGGGCTGGATCCGTACTTGTCAAAAGCAGTACTCAATATCCCCCCCCCCCCCCACTCCGAGAACGGACGGACCCCATGCGTGTTACCAAAATGTCCTTTTCGTAACAAAAGAAAAAGGTCGACCCGCATTAACTTTATACACCGGACTTTTGCTTAAAAGGGGGGGGGGGGGGGGTGCTGAAAAAGGCTCGTATA